GAAAGACCTCAGATACAAAAACAACCCTGCACACTAAGAGCAGTGTCGGGGGGATTACTATACCAGATTTCAAGCTGTATTACAGAGTTATGGTCATAAAAACAACATGGTCCTGGCACAAAAATAGACTCATAGACCAATGGAACAAAATTGAAGACCCAAATATGAATAAATACAATTTCAGCCACCTGATATTTGACAAAGGGGCCAAGAACATTAACTGGAGGAAAAGACAGCATGTTCAGCAAATGGTGCTGGCAAAACTGTATATCCACTTTTAGAAGAATGAAACTAAACCCCTATCTTTCACCCTGCACAAAAGTCAATTCCAAATGGCTCAAAGACCTCAATGTAAAGCCTGAAACTATGAAACTATTAGAAGAAAACATTGGGAATAACCTACAAGATATAGGCATAGGAAAGGATTTTCTAAACCGGACATCAATTGCCCAGGAAACAAGGGCAAAAATTAACAAATGGGACCTCATTAAACTAAAAAGCTTCTGTACATCAAAGGAGACAACCAAGGAAGCAAACAGAAAACCCACAGAATGGGAGAAAATTTTCACTAGCTACACATCCAACAGAGGTTTAATAACCAGAATTTATAACAAACTCATAAAACAGAGGACCAAGACAAGGAGCAACCCAAATAAAAGATGGCCTAAGGAGTTGAACAGAGAGTTCTCAAAAGAAGCAGTAAAGATGGCTATGAAACATCTTAAAAGATGTTCAACACCACTAATAATTAGGGAAATGCACATTAAAACCACTTTAAGATTCCACCTTACCCCAGTCAGACTGGGTAAGGAACTGGTATCAGACTGGTATAAAGAAAACAAAGGATACCAAATGTTGGAGAGGCTGTGGGGAAAGGGGAACACTCATCCACTGCTGGTTGGCTGCAAACTGGTTCAACCCCTATGGAAAGCAGTATGGAGAATTCTTTAAAAACTACAAATGAACCTCCCATTTGGCCTAGTTACACCACTCCTTGGGATATACCCAAAGAACTCATCCTATCTCAGAGACACTTAATACTTCCATGTTTGTTGCTGCTCTTCTCACAATAGCTAAGAGATGGAAGCAACCTAAGTGTCCCTCAATTGATGAGTGGATAATGAAAATGTGGTTCATTTATACGATGGAGTTTTACTCAGCAATAAAGAAAGATGAAATCATGAAATTTTCAGGTAAATGGATGGAACTAGAAACTGTTATACTAAGTGAAGTAACACAGACTCAGAAAAAAAATCGACATATGTTCTCCCTCATATATGGATCTTAGAACAAGACTCTGATAAATAAGTATGCAACCAGACATAACTACAGGAACTAGGATAATGGAAATGAAACACGGAGGTAAAGGAAAAGAAATAAATAACCTGAAAGAGAAAAACAGTATTAAACAGGCCTAAATAAGGGAGATATGGATAAAAATTGGGTTAGTTTAAGGGAGGGCAGAGGGAAGGGTATACAGGAACCTGGGGCATAAAGGGAAAGAAGGAGCTCAAGAGAGGTAGGATCACATGAGAAGGGTATTATTAAGGGAGAAAGGGGGAAAATGGGGGTACCTTAAGAGGGAAAACCATGATGGAGGTGTGAGACAATGTGAGAGATTAACAATGCCTAGCTAGCTTTGAAAACCAGTGAGAACCATATTACTCCTACAACCTACTGATAAATTACACCTAGGAGATCATGAAATATATGTCTAGGTAAGGTTTTTCTGAGAACAACGGGTCTTTGCCCAAGAGTTATCTACATGACACACAGTAATTAAAAATACCAGACTGGTGGAACTAACCTTCTTGGGTGTTTAAGAGACATACTTTGAGGTCTATAATAATTTGGTCAGAGGGACATAAAGACACTTTTTTCTCCTTGCCCTCCTAGGTCGACTAGTTCCAGAGGACTATGAGCATCTCTCAAAATGTCCTATAATGGTGGTGGGTCACCTGTCCTCTTGATCAAGGAGGCCGAGGAGACCCCACCAGATGGACTTGAACCAGTGTCCATTCTATAAAGAGGAAGGTCAACATAGAGGAATCATTTCCTCCATGTTTCCAATTGAAGCCAACCAAGGTAGAGCAGAACCTT